TATGTCATTAAAATTTGATGCATCTACATAAATCCTCTTGTTACCATCTGTAATTTGGGTGGTCATATAAATCTATTTAATAAACAACATAAATATAAATATGCTATTTGCATAAAATACCTTAACACAAATATCAATAAGGTATTCAAGCAAAATTATATAAAATTATGAAAAGAATAGTCAGCTGAGGCACATCCTGTAATTTAGAATAGATACAAATGTAGAGTAGAAATTATCTGAGAACAGTAAATTAAAATATTCTGGGCACTTTTTTATTTTATAAGTGAAATGAAATAAAGTTAGAAAGAAATACTTCCAAGATAAAGTGTCTGAAAGGTAGATAAATGAAATTTATTATCTCACCACTAGCAAATTCTTTGCAGATTTTTTAGAAACTATCAGTATTCAAGTCTTCAAAATCCTGATATATATATTTCCCTACCCGTATACAGGAAAATCACTTACTTTAAACACATATCTGTCATAAATCAAAGATATCTGGTTCAGCTCTAACCTTCATACTTGACCTAGATATTTTTTTTTCTTTTAAGCTATAGATTTGAGGCTGGCTTGATACTAAGTACTTAATTTGTGTCCGGTGAAGGGTGCACCTAGAGAAGTTGAAAGTATTCACCCATAAAGATATTGCAAAAAGTCAAATGAAAATAAAACTGGAAGAAGGATGAAGCAAGAATCTAATTTTAGATCTGAAGATCATAAACCTACTGTAATTCTGCTTCACAAAGCATAGCCAGCTAACTTGTCAAGCTTCACAGCACTAGTTCTTCAAATTACACACACGCGCACACACACACACACACACACACACACACACACACACACACACACACACACACACTGTATTCTCCATTAAGCTTATACATCAAGATTTCTAACAGGATTTCCTTCATGTTCAACATTTTGTAACAGGTAGCTGCGTCCCAGAAAAACTCCTATTGCTGTGTTCCAACTCAAAACTTAGAAACACAAGAATAATCATGACTCCATCCAGAAGATTTTTTTTTTTGTTTAAAGAAAGCATCATAGTAAAGCAATCCATGTTGGCCAAAACACAAAACACAGCTAGCAAAGTGAAGAACCATTTGTGTCTCTTAAGGCAGAAAACAAATAAAACATTATCTGATGTGCTTTCCTTTAGTAAGCAAGTTCATTATCAAATAATTCTATGTAGCAAATACAAATTAGGCTGGTATCTTTCCAAACCTATTTCTATGCTCATTTTGGTCATTGCTTTCAGCTTTCCATTCTGTAACATTCTTTATTTCCTCAATTCCAGAACTATAGAAAATTAGTTTCATCTGAATGAAAGCAATGATATAAAGTAGAAAGCAAACTGGATTATACTGGGACTATAATACATGAGCACCCAGTTCTAGATTCCAAACTGAGACAACATACATTTTGAATTTGGAATATATTACCAATTATTTGCATGTATGTATGTATGTATGTATGTACGTACGTATGTATATTCATAATGATGACGATAATGTTTGGACACCTGGAGAGTACACTGCTCAACATAGAAAGGAAATGTATGATATAAAACAATTAAAAATATTTCAAAAGAAAGAAGGAAAGCGGCCTTCTCTTTCCCTCACGCTGGCCGCTCCATTGCCCGTTTCTCCATTGCAGCACAGCACAGGATCCACTTTGATAGTTGGGAGGGTGGGGGGAGATAATTTAACAATCGATTTGCTTGAACTGGTATGAACCAGCTGAATCCCACCACTGTGCCAAAGGTATATCAACTTTTTTTTTTTGGTTTTAGGAACTGTTTAACAGCTTTGAGAGTATTCATTAAATCTATTTGATGTATATGTCTAATTAATTTAAGTATTTGAAATTAAATTGGTTCTTATGTATTAAAATTATATTCTTTAAAAAAAAGTCAGACTAGATTATTTTACATTTACTTTGGCAATTTGTACACATTTCTGAAGGGAATGCTCACCTGCTTTAACATGAGCTATGTTCACACACACACACACACACACCCAAAAATTTTTGGCTGTTCAAGATGACATCCTATTGAAGAAACTGAAAATTAAGGACAATTAAGTTGATACGATGTGTAAAACAACAACAGCCCAGGGTAAAATTTCAGCAGAAAGCTTTCCCAGTGCTGTAATCTTTTTTTTTTTTTACAAAAATGTAAGGGAAAACATGTGTTCGTTTGAAATGCAAACTATCAATTGAAAGGGTTTATGACTCCTTTGAAGGAATGCAAGTGAGCAAAAAAAAAAAATGCAATGTAGTCTTTCTTCCGCTCACTACATTTCATGACGAAAACTTTCTTTATCTGATTGGCAGGATCTTCTTCCTGACATCAGTAAAGGGGCTCTCTTTTTTCTGAAATAAATGCAAGCTCAGAAAAGAAATTTTTCTCGGAGGAAAAACGAGAGTACTGATTCCATGTCTTACTCTCTACCCCAAGTGGAAATAATTTTAAAGCTGCTGTATACCAACTGTACAATTTGGTTTTCCCTTTTGATTAGATACTAGGTTAATCTAACATCTCTGTAAAGGCGTGCTTTTTTTCCCTTGCCCACCGTAACACAGTTGGTGGTTAGAAATGTTCACAAACTGAAAGCTTCTATGGCAAAAATTAGAACTTTTTCAACTTTAGAGCTAGAAAGAAACATGACATGTTTTAAGCACCTTCCATTTGCAAGAAAAGCTCTATTATCCCTGATCACTAGAAATGTTTTCAGGCCCATTTGATTTATTAATTTAGTGTTAAATGGGCACCATAATTGGGCATCATTTTCCTCCTGTGGCTCAACCTTAAGCACAGCAATGTGGTTCATGTGATTTGCCTGCAAAGAGAAACATGGACTTTAAAAATAGACACTCGGGTGGGTTGTTTCCTCCTCTATGCAAGACACTGTTTTCTGAAGTAGTTGACTGATCTTCTACAGCCATTTTGGACTTAGTGGTAACCTTACATTTATCATCTCTTATTTTACTCAACATTTTCAATAATAACGGCTTGAAATTGCTGCAAGGCTCAAATAGCTTTCATGTTTTGAAATATTTGGAGTTGGGCCTTGATCTCCTATCAACAGTGGCTTATACAGCTAGTCCTCGGCTTACAATAACAATTGGCACCAGAATTTCTATTGCTAAGCAAGATGGTTAAGTGAGTCACACACCCCCACCAAGTTTTATGACTTTTTTGCCAAAGTTGTCAAGGGAACCCTGCGGCCGGTAAGGGAATTCGGGCCCCCCCCCCCCCCCCCCCCCAATTGTCTTTGTTGGATGCTGGCTGAGAAGTTTGCAAATGGCAGATCCCGTGACTCTGGAATGCTGCAAACATCAGAGATATATGCCAGTTGCCCAAGTGCCCAAATTTTGATCACGTGACCATGGGGAGGCTGTGATGGACATAACAGCGAGGACCAGTGACAAGTCACTTTTTTTAGTGCTGTTGTAATTTCAAATAGGTACTGAATGAATGGTTGTAAATCAAAGATCATCTGTAATACAAAACCAAGCAGAAACTCCTTCTTTTCCATTTGGGGGCTATAACAAACTTAAGCACTCTTCAGAAAGCAGCAGTAAAGAGAATAAACAGGCCAAATTCTCACTTCGTCTGGAGATTGCATGCACAGAATGGGGGCTAGCTCAGTTCTCAGCCATCTGTGTTTGCATTTCTCAATCTGGCCTTATCTCAAGAAAAGATGCCCAGGACCAGACACAAGACCCTCAAACCTCACTGAATGTTTTATCAGATATTGTATTCAGCCAGAGCATTTGGACAGATTAGGAGGATTTACAGCATTTCCAGTAGTTCTGTACTGCTGCCTGGAAAGTGCATCTATGGAGCCACCAAGGGTTCATTTTATTTGAAGGAGGCTTTATTTTTAAAACATCCCATCCAAACTCATGCACCCAATTATTCATTGAAACAAAATCCTTGTAGCTCTGGAAGTTTTTAACTTGTTCCAGATTCTACCATATATACTGTATATGGTAGATGATGGGAAAATCAATTCTACTGATATCTGTCTATCTATTTCTCTGCCTGCCTGCCCATCATCCATTCATTCATCCATCCATCCATCTATCCACCCATCCATCCATTATCTATCCATTATCTGCCTGCCTGCCTACCTGCTTGCCTACCTATCTATCTACCTGCTTATCATCTGTCTATCATCTGTTTGTCTGTCTGTCATGGCTTCATCAGAGCCTGGTTCAGAGGAGGAGTTGGAATTGGGACTGTCTGACCAGGAAGGCACATCGGGGGGCCCTCAGGCATTGGGGGAGTTGACAACCAGACAGAGAGCTGCCTGCCTGCACAGACAAAGGGGAGGATTGGCTACTGACAGCAGTGGTGCTGATAAGGCAGCCAATCTCCTTTGATGAGGAACATTTGCCTCCTCCACTCGATCCAAGGGCCAGGAGAGTGGAACATAGGCAAGCCCAGAGAAGGGCTGCAAGGCTAGTCGGGAGGAGGTTGCCCCACCCCTCCTCACAAGGAACACCTGGAGGGTAGTAACTTAAGGAGAAGCCATGGGGGAGGGGGGTTGTCTTTGCCGGAACAATTGTTTGCTTTGGCTTACACTCATTTGGCTTTGACTCAGGCCTGTTGCTGTTTGCCTTGCCTCACTTGGAAGATTGTTCTTTGCATTTTGTTTTGGACCTAGCCTTTCTCTTGCGGCCTGTGTTTGGCCTTTGCTTCACTGTGCCTTTGGAACTGCTTCTTGTCTGGGGCCTGTTTCTTGTCCTGCCCTTGTCTTGTACCTGGACTCTGCCTTGTGGATCAGACGTGGACTCCATATTACTAAAGTGTCATCTTTTTTTTCTTCTATATGTCTTTAATGGAGGCCATTTACCTTCCAACAGCATCTACTGTCCATAGGACAACAGTGTAATTAGCTTTAAAAACAAGCCAATTTAAGAGTGTACATGGTATTAAATAATAAAATCTTACATGCATTCCCCAGAACTGAATCAAACCCAACAGCCCTTACCCATTATGGAGACATCATACTCAATCTGGAAGAGGGCCTCCTGGTTGCACTGACGCAGAATGTTTAGAGCATCAGCATGACTCACACTGTGAAGAGGAATCCCATCCACACTCAACAGCCGATCCCCAATTTTCAAAGACCCTTCCCTGCAGAAAATGATAAAGGCATCCATTAGGAACACATATCTTACAAAGTCAGAATATTCTTGAGATGAATGCTTATTTGAGAATTTTATCTACTACCAACACTTCCGGAGTTTCTACATCTGCTCAAAGATGTACACGTAGTGGGCCCAGGAGCTTTTCAAGGGTGGGATACAACTTTTGATAAGGTACTGGAGAGTGTTCCTGCTTTGTCAGGGGAAACTCACAGTGAGTTCTGAGGTAATTCTAACTTTGATTGTATAAGACTGACCTATAAAACAAGACAACTGTCAAAACTTTTTCTTTGCTTGAATGAACCTGTGGTAAACTCATCTACACAACCAGAGAATAAACATGGAGCAAATTTTGAGAGGTAGGCTAGGCCTGTAAGTCTAGCTATCTGTCTAAGCCAGTGTTTCTCAACCATAGCAACTTTAAGCTGGGTGGACTTCAATGCCCAGAATTCCACAGTCAGCTCTGCTGACAAGTTGACATACACTGGTCTAAGCCATATCTGAACACCAGTAGCCAGTGTAATTTGGTGGTTTATTTTTATTAACAAAGGTTGCACAAATTTATGACTCATTTTAAGGAATCACGATCTGATAAACCCTGTACACTTATTTAGGTTTCTCAGATCTGTTATTTGCTTGACACAAAAATGACGGTGAAAAAGAAATTAGGGCTTATGTATTTATTTTACTCTTTCTTTTAATTAATTATCTTTCAAATATTATTATTTCTACATCTGTTTTCTTGTGTTATTTTTTCATTAATATTCTAGTATTTCTGTACTGCATGGAGAAAATCTATCTATGTGGTGTCCATGAGTTGAAAACAACTTGATGGCACATTATTTTCATAGTGACATTTTTATAACACATTCCCACCCCTTGCAGTCCATCACTACTGCGCCACTGAACCTGCAATTGGTTTTAAATGATCCAACACTGATTAAATTTTTCAAATGTATTTTCCATAATTCACCTTTTCTGGCTACCCAGAACTAGTGCAGTAGAACTCAAAGGAAATATGTGTTCAAGAAGCAATGGACATTAGACCAAAATGTAGAGATGCAAAGCTATTGGGAATGTTTTTATATGAAAAATATGTGTTTGTTTAAGCTTCACTGCTAAATGTAGAATTATGTGAACATTACCTGTCTGCTGGGCCACCTGGTCTAACATAAGTTAGTACTAATGGCCTGGATTTATGCCAGTCTTCGTGGGCTCCTCCTGTAAGCAATTTGCAAAAATAATTCATAACTGATACAGACACATATCCAACAAATCTGTAAAAAGAGAACACATTTTTAAATCAGCAAGCAGGTAGCAGTCATTTTCTGGAACATATGGAGAAACCTGATGGTATCCCTTCTGTCAGTCTATGAAGATTACTTTTCCATCTCCCCAAAGATGCCCTTCCGAAAGCCACCTTAGAATGGCATTGGACATCCCACTGCCTCCTTTTGCCATGTTTTCAAATGGCCCAGCATGTTGCTAATTACAAGTGCACTGACCTCGTAGTACAAATCCAAAACTATTGCCTTCTTTATAGAGGGTAACTTCAACGGTTTTTGGAATGATGCCAGCACTATTATCAGGGGCTGCAGACAAGGGAAATAAAAGAATGAGCTAATGCATTTCACTTGCTGAACTCTCCTTCTATACAATCTGCATATTTATAAGTTCTGCAGATGATCTCAAACATAAAAAATTATCCAAATAAACCTTCTAAGTTTCATAAACTGGACTATTGCCTATAATGCTTGTCATGATTGAATAACAGCATTAAAATTACCCAAATCTGTCTTGCAAATTGCCTCTAATCAATCTTAATAATACACATATACATACATATATCCTGAGCTTGTTTTAATATATTCACAAAACAAAGCCTTTTCTTCTACAAGCTTCAAAGCCCAGTAGGATTCCTAGAGCTAACAGTTTTTGCCACAGATGTTTATTGGATTCTCAAATACCTTAATAATAAGCCAGCTGGCAACTTTGAATGAATACATTCAAATCTTCGTGGCTAAGAGGACAGTTGTTGATTGGGATCATTAAGTGGAGAAAATGATTAAGTGTAAAACTGCACTGAAGGAAATGTGTCTTAGTCCATATTTAATTCAGTACTTCATTTAATTTTAAACACTTATGAAAGCAATGCAAAAAAACAAAGACTGCATCTGTTTATGAGTAAAAGGCAACCTATTACACATTCTGTGTTATGACTTTCCAGACAAAATGCCCTCCTCCTTCTCATAATAGTGTGTGAAATATATGCATAATATGAATCAAATAATTTGGAGGAAGAATTAATAGTGTTTTTAAAAATTCACCAATTAAGTAGATTGGTGAAATGAGAAAGAGGAAGAAATTATTATATTTAAATGGCAGCCGCAAGCCACCATTTTAGAAATGCTATCTCCCCAGCTTTTCATACATTTGAACTCTCAACCTGATGCCCTCCAGATCAATAATCCTGATCAGCCATTCATTTGCCTTGCTATCAGGGAATTCTTGGAGCTGTACAGAAGAGAATATATCTTCTAAGGTACTAGAAGATGAATGAAAGTCTATTATTATTATTTGGGTTGGATCCAGAAATGAGCTCTTCAAACTAGGTGATGCAGCAGAGTTTATACTTTCTACTTCAGAATCCTCCTTCTGGGTCAAAAATCTTCCCATTGTCACAAACAGTTGTTGTGGAACTGGACAGAAGCAAAGCCTGCTTCCAGCGCAATGTAATGTTAATAACATTTACAACCCACTAGCTGAAATTAAATGTACCCTTTAATATTTTAAACCAGCAATAAAAATATATAGTTGAGTAAAAAAGGCCATTGGATATTGAGCATAATTAAGCAGCATATTATTTAAAATCATACTCATTTCTAACATTACAATAGTTTTTCTTCTCTAACCTTACTCATGCCCAACCTCTGTCCCTTACAACTCAGAACAATCTTCCAGAGATCTTATGAAGTCAATTGTAATCCACTAATGGTCATGTCATAGTGTGCTATTTGTCACATTACAGTTTTATTTGATGTCCAAGTTGAATCCATAAATAGATTCAAGTTTGTGGGTCAAAAGTGAATGGTTGGGGTTTTATGAGCAAGCAGGAGGCTTTATAATGTACTAGAGACAAGTTTATTTTGTGAGTAAACAAACCAGGAACAATAGCATAAACTTAAATATCAGTTTTTGAATTGTAAGGACCCAGACTGATGGGGGCAATATGCTGAATCTATAAACTGCTTAGAGAGGGCTGTAAAACATGGCGAAGCAGTATAGAAGTCTAAATGTTATTGCTATAATCATGAAACGAAATCTAATGTGTGATCTGCTTTCTGTATTTATTGATGCTTCTAGTATCTATTTTATATACCCACTGATGTTTGTGAAATCATTAGCACTGTTAAATATTTATGAGTAACAACATCCAATAATTAACAGATGGATAAAAGCAGAATCCACTGTAATCACTCTGTGTAACAAATTATTGGCAAAATGACACTTCAAGTAAAAGAATTTCAGATGCCAAGGCTGGAATATCCTGAACAGCTGGAGAAACTACTACCAACAGAAGTAGGATTACTGATCTAATGTAAAGCAGCAATCTTCTCATCATTCCTTATCACCCCTCCCCTCCCACTTTTGACTGTATGACTGTAACTTTGTTGCTTGTATCCTTATGATTTATATTAACTGTTTCCTAGTATGATTGATTGCTTATTGTACCGTATGACTATTATGAAGTTGTACCTTATGATTCTTGACTCTTGATGAATTTATCTTTTATGTACACTGAGAGCATTTGCACCAAGACAAATTCCTTGTGTGTCCAATCACACTTGGCCAATAAAGAGTTCTATTCTATTCTATTCTATTCTATTCTATTCTATTCTATTCTATTCTATTCTATTCT